TCATCTAAAGTGATTTTTACATTGATGTAACTACATAAGTATATTAAGGAGAGGAGTAGCTGAAATTTTAAACTGAAATCTTGTTTTTTAATATGTATTTCAATATATAGTCTAACCAATTTCCTTTAATTTCTTTTTCTTTATATTTTTGTCACTTTTGTTAGTATTTCACATGGTGATAATAGAAGATCTGCCAAGAAAGGTGAAAGGTCGTAAGAAACTGGATGCAGACAAGTGTAACGACTGAAAATAATTTCCAATTTATTAAGATTTAATATCTGCCATGTTTGGAGTAAATGTAAAATAGAAAAAGTTCTAAATTTCAAGATTTTCTTACCTGGGTTGTGACATCCCATCCATCTTCAAGACAAATCATGACGGATGAACCTTGAACATCAAGTAAATCCACAACAGCTCCAGCCAGCTGCATCACATTCTGGACCTACAAAAAAATCAAAATATTTTAATACAAGATGTGCTGGGACAGAGATGGGATCATCTTGACATTTTTCTACTTAAGCAGTGCAATGTTAAAAAAAAAGATTTGATTTCATTTACTTACATTTAAAAGAGGCATATGTATTCAGTGTCAAATTCAGTCATGCTGAAAAGATTAACATTATTTAAAGACATTTGTCATAAAACAGAATATGGCCCACTGAGGCTCAAGGGTCCCATAATATTGAGGGTTAGAGGGGCACCACATGTAGCAGCAGTGCTGTGTCTGGGGTAAGATCATTTGATAGAGCACAACACTCTCCAGGCTGACTGGAATTCAGAGTTCACCATCTCCGAAACTGGCTGCTAACCCAAACTATACAGGGTCCAGTCTATCCCGTTATTTACCCATAGCTGGAAGAAGAGATGGCTTCATACCTTTCCAAAGGATACTTATATGGGAGTGAGTGAAATTCAAACTCAGTCCTCCAATTTATCATTCTGGGCCACACACATATATTTAGTATATAGGGGTAGCAGATCATAATTCAAACATATATTATTAAATGTAACAGACAACGAATATCTATGATGTTTTTTTCATGAGCCTTTCCAAGCTTCATAAAATGGCTTTAGTTTCAAGAGAAAATAAAGACAAAAACTGACCAACATTTTGGATATTTCTTTACTATATTGGTCATCGATCTAAGCTTTCAACTCACATCAGCCATCATCAGAGTGGTTATATGGGCATTACATTGTTCACTGTCAAAGATGACATCCTGTTTTGTTTACATAAAGTTTGCTATGCAGCGTTAATGGTCAAGGAATAGCAGATGCAGGGCGTAAATTCGTAATGCAGTTCTATGACATCGTACATGACCATTACATTATATTATATATATATATATATATATATATATATATATATGTGTGTGTGTGTGTGAAAAGTGTATATAAATAAATATATATATGTATGATTATTTATATATTATATGCACGGTACTTATTAGAAAGCGCTCAATATCAGAGATAGAGCTAACATATTTGGATGGATGGATGTGAGTTTGTGACCCTGGGTTTCACGCTAAACTGCAAGATCTATCCAACTAAATATAAATATATATATATATATATATATATATATATATATAAAATTTGTTTCGTATATAATTTTAATTAGATGTAATTTACTGACACATGAGCCAGATTTAGCATAACATTAGTGTAGCAGCATCTTAACTGATATGTCAATAAGTTAGAAATAGTTACACTGGATTAAATAATTGACAACCATTACACACACACAAAGATATTTGCTTGGAAGTGAATATAATGAACAAGGAAGGAATTGAAACTCAGCTCACCAATTTCTCATTCCAATCTGCTATCCATTACACCACCCACACACCCAGGTATTATACAGGCTGCAATGGGTAAATTGTCGCCATTTTATATTTTTCATTTCACATTGTTTTCTTATTTTATTGACTACACTGTATAGTAGATCAGTTAGGCACTGTCTGTGGCAAAAAGAGAAACATGATGCAATTCACTTTGCCAGAAATTTGGAAATGGCCTGATGTACTACTTGACATTTGCCCTAGAAGCCCCAATACAAACATTTCAGAGTGTTTGGGTGTCAGTCTGAGGACAGTGCAGAGGATTTGGAAAGAGTTGAATGAGTCTAATTGTGATTACAAAGGTATCTGCAATGATCACTAGTGATGGCGACATTCATCTTCCCACAAGGCCTCAGACTCAACATGGAGGTCTACATCAAGTACCTTGAGGAGGTAGTGCTGCCCTGGGTCAACAGAGTGGGTGCTGGAAGACCCTAGGTCTGGCAACAGGACTCTGCACCATGCTACACAAGCAGGAGAATCCAGTCATGGCTGTCAGACAATTTCTGTGACCACATGATACCTTAAATCTGGCAACCTAAGTCCCCAGACTGCAACCCACTTCATTATTATGTGTGGGGTGAAGTTGAGTGAGACCAAAAAAACTCCTTGTAACACCAAAAATTAACTGAAGGCAAGGATTATGGCAGCATAAGAGAGTTGCAAGAGATTCTAAAGTTGTCTGGAGGCCATTTCTTTCAAAATACTGAAAAGGTTAATGGTCAGAGTTGGGTTAGACCAACAAACAGTAGTATTAAAAAGTGCTCAATACACATGTGAAAAATAAAAATAAAGAATTAACATGTAGAGCAGATGCTGTTATGGTTGTTGTACAGTTTCTGCAACCTCTGTCCTACAAGAAAAATTAGCAATAATGACATTTCCAGATCCCAAAAACCATTTGAATCAAAGGTCCAAGATCATGAACCATTGCATTCATACAAAAACAAAAAAAAATTACTCTTAATTTCATATGAGGCTCAATAAAAAAAAATATGTACATTTCAATTACCCCCCCCCAGCCCAATGATACATTAACAATACCCTTTCTTTTCTCCTCCTCCTTTGCATCCTCCTCCCTTCTAATCATATCCAGGGTGTAATTGGCCCATATTTCTTTACAACTCTACCATTGACTGCAAATGCTTACTTACAAATTCTGCAAGAGCTTGCCATTGATACAAATCCCCTACAAATCAGACAAGCAAGGTATTTCTAACAGGATGGTGCACTGCCTCATTTTGTCTGTACTGTTAGCACTTGTCTTCATCAAAGTTTCGCAAATCATTGAATAGGTTGCAGCAGACTGTTAGCATGTCCACCACACTCTCCTGATCTGAAACACTGTGACTTCTGGTTATGGGATATGATAAAGGATCACATGGATAGCAAAAAAGTTAGAGACATTGAAGAACTCAATGACAAAATAAAAGGTGTAATATCAAACATTCTCTGTGAAATGTGTGTCAAGGCACTAAATTATATATATATTTTAAATAAAAACAGACCACTTTAAGGTTCCGTGTAATAAATTATTTCACCACAGCCCTTTTAAAAGGCTGTGGATCATCAGACCATATAATGTTTGATTTAAATTATTTCAACTATTTCATAGAAAATCCCCAAAATTTTTAAAAAATTTAAATCACTAACAAACTTCAAATTAAATTCTTTGTAGACATTCTAGACATTCAAATTTATATCAAACATTATAATCTTTATGAACCCCCAAAATAACACTTTCAAAGTAAAACAAAATAACAGCGTCTGTCTCTAGGCTTTTTTTCCAAAAAAAAATTTTAGTGACCTTCTCTCATGACTTCCTTCTCTCTTTTTCTTTTTATGGGTTTTTTCTCCTCTACCCCTTCGATATCAATATATAACTTCCGTTAAGTTAACCATTTAAATGTGTCAATGTCTGGACATCAAGTAATTTTAAGTATAAAAGAATAGAAATTTTAAATTACATCTAACTAACTCATGTCTTCTCTCTTCCCCCTCACTTCCTCAATTTACATATATTTAATATGGCCCGTTAAAAATGTGTAAATTTCTTTTCATTTTTTTGTTTCAACCTTTGGAAGTAAAGTCTGATGATCCACAGTCTTTTAAAAGGGCTGTGGTGAAATAATTTATTACATGGAACCTTAAAGTGGTCTGTTTTTATTTAAATTATTTGCTCTGGATTTACATTGAGCTCTCTAGATTTTATCCTCCTTGGGTTTACCCATACGGATTACCTAATTTTTCATAAACTATATATATATATATATATATATATATATATATATATAATAAAGTCACACACTCATTGTATATGACAAAATTATAAAATGTAAAATACTGTAGCTATTCCATTTTCTTCCTTTTGATTAAAGATTATCAGGATTAGTTATATTTTTATGATTATCAAATGTGCCCATAGCCTATGTACATAAATATGTAAATAATATATATATTGCTTAAAATGAGACGGCATATAATATACCTGTAAAAGCCATTCAGAATCTTCGACACCCTTGTACAGACTGTGTTCAGCACTGGACGGAGGGGCACTTGGAACACAGGCCCTCATCAGCTTCTTGAAACTTGCTTTGATATGTCGGACTTCAAAGAAATCCACTGGGATGAAGTCACAATTGCGAAAGGAGTCCACTTTGATCCCCTATGTGGATGAAAATACAAATAAAAGATTAAAGAATTGAACAATAAAACAATTATATAGTAAAATATTTCTAATTGCTATTGACATAGAAATATATCAGGGGAGGTAACTCTGGAAATTGCTTACAAAAGAATGATATACATTTCTGCTCGAATTTCTGGGATGAGAAGTTAACATTATTTACATTATTTAATAATGTGATAAGAATGAAGGTGAGGAAATTAGTCCAAATGTTAATAATGCAAATAATAATTGGGTCTAAAAAGAAAACACAAATTTGTCAAGTCAACAGAGCCAAATTTATTTCTATAAGCGCAAAAATGTACTCAGCTTGATTTACTGTATTTTTGTCTTATTTCACAAATCATTTACTTACTAATAAAAGTCCTACTAATGAACCTATAACTGGAAGGAGAAGAGGTGAATTCATATCTTTCCCAAGGGTATTTTCATGTAAATGAATATAGCAAAATCTGACTGGAACTTGACTCTGATTTCCAATTCTGAGGTCATTAACTGCATATATCCAAACTTACAACACCTAGCATTCCCAAGACTTCAGTGATCATATAAGAACTGGTGTTTCAATCCTGGTCAGTGCCTAAATGGGTAACAGCTTGGGAATACCAAGTGCTCTAAGCTTAGATGTGCAGGTGGTGTAATGATAATGGCATGGAACTGTTAATCAAAGAGCTGAGTCCCAATTCCTGTTAGTTTCATTATATTCACTTACATGCAAATACACTTCGGAAAGATATGAATCCACCTCTTTCCTCCCTCAACTAAGACCTGAATCACTAAACCATTATTATCTTAAATTTAAAAAAAAAAAAAAAATTTAACAATCTAAAAATATTTTCTGGCTTTAAATAAACTGCAAAGAGTTAATATACCATAAAAAAAAGAAATCAATCAATAAAAGACAAATAAAAATTTGAAATATGGAACTAGAAATAAAATTAGTGATTACAAGTTAAAAAAAACCTTGCTTATACTCTAAGATTCAAATGGCAGTATAGATAATAATTAACTGCCATAATTAACCTGCCAATAATAAAAAAAAAAATTCTTTCCAAAATGATAAAATTTAAGCACTTTCAAAGTGTAAATAAGAAGGTAAGAATAGTTTACCTTCATCTGTGCCTTCTCCCCAAGTATGTATAAAGAAACCTTGTGTAAGCCTTGCACTGAGGTATTGACAAAGTCTCCCTTTGGATCTAAGCTGCCATTCTGGCGAAGTGTTCGACTGGATTCCAAACTCCCAGTTTGGATTTTGGTCTTTTCACGAAAGCTGCCGATTCGTCCTAGGGCTACATCAAAGTGAGAAAAATTAAAAAGATCAAATAATAATAAATGGTCCTATTTTGAAGAATACAGGCATCAAGCAAGAATGGTTAGAATTTCTAGTTAAATGCTGGTTTCAATGACTCAGCATAACAAAACTGATTAAAATAGAAAAAAAATTTTCAAAAGAAAAAGTCAGAGCAAGAAAAATAAAATATTAGCTTCAATAAAACAAAGAATACAGCATATATTTTAGCATTCAAAAATACTTACCCTCTAAAATGACAAAGCACAAATTGTAATGAAGAAAAAAATAATTTTTGGTAGAATGCTTCTTTTTTTTTTCTTTCAGCCATATCCCATCACCAGCAAATTATTAACAAAAGATTTTTATATATATATATATATATATATATATATATATAATAAATGCAAACGTCAGTGTTACACTTTTTCAACCTTACTCCTAGAGGCCGTAGCACAACATATCATACCATTTTGGGATCAGGCCAAATCCATGAGCAAATTAAAAACATTCTGCTTCAGATCCGAACAAGCAATCCTGAAATTTTGGATTCCTGTTTTCATTACTGCAATTGTTTTTGGTGACTTTTTTTTTTTCTTTTTTTTTTTTCTTTTTTTTTTATATGATTTTTTGTGACGCATTCTTTTTGTATAATAACAGTTTTTACAACTTGGAAATAAATTTGGGAATAATCAAAATTTACTGCAAAATCCAGTAAAAGTCACCCATGAAATAAAAATATATGTTTGTAAAGAAAGTAAAGGCCTACACATATCTAATTGTCTTCATATTAAGTGGCAGCAGAAGAATTATCATTTAACTTTTAAAAAATAAGCTTAAATATTAATCCAATATTTAAATGCAACGATCAATTTTCTGTTCTTTTGTAGTTTATTATTGCTTATCGCATATGACAGCAGTATGCCTCATGAAAAGAAATCTCCACCAACAGAGAGCCAGATTGCAATCAAAAGAGCCAATGTGGCAGTGAGGAAAAGAAAGTCCCATGCAAATGAAGACCCAGATCAAACAGCAGCCAGCAGAGTTTCCAATGCTGAGAATATGCAAAGACTTAGGGACTCTCAAACTCCTGAACAAGTCAAAGGCATAATCAAGATCCTTCCACAGGAGCTAGTTTAATTGCTGCTCAATTGGGCAGCTTTTAAGCTAGTGCGCGTGTGTGTGTGTGTGTTTGGCTACTCAAAAATATTGAACAATCATATTTAGGAAGCCAATAAATAACCAGAATTGGAAATTAATTTTTTTTATTCTATTTAATTTATCAAGATTGAAATAATTCCAAGCCATTCATTATTTCTGTGTTTATTTCTGGAATGAGAAGCTATCATCACATTATTTACATTTGGACTAATAACCTCATCTTTGTTGTCATTATCAAATTTCAACTGCTGCACTCTCTAGCCTTCTTCAGATGGCCCACAAGACAAAAGCCTAGTGGACTAAAGCATTAATTTGTGAATTTGGTAACTGTTATGCCATACATATGGACTAATGGCTATGCCCCAATCCTCATGAATAGGATGGAATATACTGTCTGGGGGATTCACCACTAGTTCACTATTAATAGTGAATTACTAAATGCTGCTGGCAAATCTTGTATGTCGTTAATGTTATAAAGATTACCATTCCATTTCCAACCTTCATTTTGGTTATTTTTATTCAACAGTAACATAGTAATTAAGAGTTGTAGACAGGTTAGTACAGACTTAAGCTACAGAGAGAATTCCTGGAAACAGAGTCAGCAAGAACTGAGCAGTACTAAATGTGAACAGGGTGAGATATCCCAAGACAAGGACAAGAGAATGAGGACAATCTACCAACTCTAGATTAAGGGGTTCAATTTGAAATTCTCTGAGACTGACAGATACCTGAAGGCCATAGAGGAAATGGCTGAAATATTGTAATAGCAACAAAGATGAGGATATTGGTCTGCATATAAATAATGCAAATAAGTCATCATGAAACTGAAACAGGTTGTCAAAACACACATCATTTTTTGAAAAGGTTCATTGAAACATTGTAAAATTTCTGAAGAGAAAATTTATACATCATTCAGATATAAACCTTGAAAAAGGTTTTATAAATCATCTTTGCCATTTAAAATACATATTAAAAATTTTAGTGTGTGTGTGTGTGTGTAATATTGTTCTGCTAGTTTTGACTCTCTATAGCATATTCATAAAATAACCAGAATAACAAATCCGTTCACCAACTCCTTTTCATCATTAATCTACCAGGAGACATCTACTTTCCAAAATCATTGCCTTAATGAACATAAATACAGGTAGAGTTTCATTGACCAGTTAGCAGTTAATTTTACAAAAGTACCAGTAAAAAGATCTAAATCAGGAGAAAATAAATTAACACCAACAATATATAAATCAATAAGATAAAACAGAAGATAGCAAGTGGCAAATACAAGAGAAAATATACACTTTGGGATGGTTTCCAATAGTTCTTTATAAACTGTATAATAATAATAAAATAATAATTATATATATAGTCAATAACAAAAGCAATTGATGAAGGGTATAAATTTATAACCATTGATATGAATATCTGAAATTGTGTTAGTCAATTACCATCAATACACTTTTGCTATTCATAGATCTTGTTTCAAAAGAAAAATGTTCAACCAGCAGAAAAAAAGATAATGATGATAAAAAAAAAAAAAAGATGACGTTTTACTCAGAATGGATTTAATAGCCTTTGCCTGTTGTGTAAGTGATGAAGCTCACATTTAGGTGTCAGAAGTGGTTTTTGGTCACATGCAGTGTTATGGAGTTCTGCTTATTAGTGCATTAGTATTCTAAACATGCAAGTTGATTTGAACTGAGAACAATCAGGCATGTGGTATACTGTGTCAAAAGTGATAGCATATATTTTAAATTAACACATTGACTGCCAACCACAAGATAACTCAGTCATTACCATAATAAAAAATTCCAACCACGAGTTATCTCATGTTTGGCATTTTCTGAGACATTTTCATTTGCAGATGCCAACAGTGAGTTTATTTGCAATGATACTTTTAGTGTAAAAACAATGTTCAGACTTCAGTTGAAGCTATAAATCAACTGATAAAAATTTTTTTCATTGCCTAAGTTGGCTATTAGGTTGGAGTTTGAAGTCAGATTTCGTAATTGACCCTCTGGCAGGCAACGTGTTAATTAGAGAACATGAGACATTTACTTCAGAAAAGTACTGTGTACAAATGGAGATTTCTTTATGAATTTAACCATGGAAATAAAAATTGTACCCACTTGAAACAGATCCATATCATTAATGCTGAAGTAACCAATCCATAAAAAGGTTCAAAAGCACTCATATAATATAAGTGTTCATTTTTCAAAGAAAACACCAGAAGAAGCCTCACATTCTATGAACTTCACCAAAGTAAGTCTCACATTCTATGAACTTCACCGAAGTAAGTCTCACATTCTATGTAGAGCCCAAATATAAACTTGGAACATTTTAAAATAAAAAAAGAAAAATACTCAAAAATAAACTTATATTTGTTGAAATTTCTTCAAATCTTTGTAACAAGCCAGGATAAAAGCCAAAAGAAAGCGTGATGAATGAAAATGGAATATTTCAGATTATTTGTTTTTGCATGAATATTTTTAAAATAATGTGCAAAAAATTTATTTAGAAAAAGATTTCTCAAGAGGGCCCAAAAATCACTTTTCATTCAAAAGTTTGTAATTCAGTTTCTCTGAAACAATCCCACATTAACAAAAACTAGACATAACTATTAATGCAAACATATAGCTGACTTCTCATCAAAGGAAATTTTTGCTATATGAAATCATCAGAAACCTTTTAAACCCAGATCTACAAAATCTGACATTTTCAATCATACAATGTTGTTCAAGATAAGCAATTTATCATCTAAAGAAATAACTGCATAAAATTAACATTTCTAAATCCTTGATGAAACACAGAAAATTGTAAGCCCTACAAAGACCAAGCAGTAATATGAAATTTAATTCTGCAGCAGTGTTAACCTTCAAAATGATATAGCTTTTCAGATGTTCAGTATCTCATTTCAAAACTCAATATCTATTAAAACCAAAAAGAAAAAAAAAAATCTAAATTTTCAGTTCTGTGCTTCTTAAAAATTCTATTTTTAAATTGGATTTTATCTTACAAAAATTAAAATGTATATTATTTCATGTCATGTAATAAAAATTTAGTGAGATTAAAAACAAAACCTTTTTGTAATATGGTTTACATTCGAAGAGCCTTAGAATTAAGAAAAAAAATTAAACTGAAACTTTTTTTTTTTCACTGTATTTCAAGACATAAAGGAATATTGAATTGAGTTTTCCATTAAATATATCCTTTTTTTTATGTAGAATTGGATCTTTGTATCCAGTTTGACTGCTTAGAAAACCACCACCATCATCATGGTCTATACCCTTTAATCATAAGAGCTCTCAAATTTAGAGATCACTAAGTTATATAGTATTATTAGCCTCATTCATTTAAGCATTGTTTGTTAAAAAACAAAATCTGTTATTATTAGTAGTAGTAGTAATATTTTAATCTATTATTTTTGCATGCACGTTTTGTACATAATTGTTTCTGCAACTTATTAGTTTTTAAAAAAAAACAAAAAAAAAACAAAAAACAAACAAACAATCAAGAGAAAATTTTAGAGATTTAGGATTTTGCTGCCAAAAAAATAATTTGCAACTTGTTTATTCTATAGATGTCTACCAACTTAGAAATGTAACAACCCTCCAGTAATAAGAGTGTGACTTTAATCCTGAAATGATGTCTACTGTAATATTAGTCATTTGACTACAAAAAGAGTTGAACACTTAAGAATGATAAAAAGATATGAAAAATCTTATTAGCTGAAAAAGAAAAAGCTTCCCGATTGTGTTTCTGTTTTTTCAAGATGGTTGGTAAATAATAACTTTTCTTGACAGACAATATTAAATATGTTGGAAATTAGGGAATGATATACACTGA